GATGTTGTTGCGGGTAGAGCAATAGACCTCTTGTTCCTCTCTTCAACCACCTTTGAGAGTTGGGTGGTTTCGTAGGTAATAAGATTACCTCGAAGAGCATCATAGGTCGTTGTTTGGAAGTCACGACCTTCTTCGATTGCATCCACCTTTGAACGCCATTTGGGGGATAGGCTTCGCAGCACCTTTCTCACGAGCTCTCAGTCGGTGTATGTCTTCCCAAGAAGATTGAGAGGATTGATGATGTTAGAGAATCTCTCAAACATTTCCTCAATCTTCTCATTTTCCTTCATTGAAAAGAGTTCATACTCGTGAGTGAGATGGTCAATTTTGGCCTCTCGAACCTGCGCGGTTCCTTCGTAGGTGACCTCCAATTTCTCCCACATTTGTTTTGCGGTTTCACACCGCGAGATTTTGCGGTAGTCATCCACATTAACACTGCAATAAATCATGTTTATTGCCTTTGCGTTGAGCTCCATCTTTTTGCAATCTTCGTCGGTGAACTCCTCTTCGGTTTTGGGGACGTTGACTTCACCGACTTTCTTCATAGGGACTCGATAGCCGTTCTTCACAATCAACCACAGCTTGTAGTCGTTGGATTGGATAAAGATTCTCATCCTCTCCTTCCAATACGAGTAGTTTGTTCCATCGAACAACGGTGGCCTCGTGGTTGATTGTCCCTCGGCCACTCCCGCGTTGAACATTCTTGATGCCATTTGATCTTTTAGTTCCTGAAAAAAAATAGCGTATTCGAAGAGCTTCCTGCTCCGATACCAATTGTTAGACAAATGTGCAACTCTAGAGGGGGGGGGGTGAATAGAGTTGTATTCAAGAATGTGCGTTTTTCGCGTGTGTGAAATAATAAAATCGCAGGAATAAATAAAGAGAGTAAGGGAAAGAAGAACACCGAGATTTATACTGGTTCACCACCTCGTGGCTAGTCCAGTCCTCCGAGAGACTCTCTCGAAAGTCCTACTAATCTTCAAGCTTCAACGGGTGCTTGAAAAACCGGTACAACTTGAGAAC